AATCCTGATAAGAAATTGGAGGAAAAAATGTAAAATTAAAAATAGTGGATTTAAGTTTTAAATTGTAATTTTTCAAAACTTTCAATTTGTCTAAAATAATCAGTTATTGTCAACTTTTTTTTGTGCCCTTATTATTTGGTAAGCTTATTATTCCTTGTTAACTATCGGAATTATGATTTATTTCTGTTTGCAGAATGCGTGCACCAGATGCTTATCATTGGAAAAAGAAGTCCAGAGGTTACAGGAAAGCATAGCTAGTCTGGAAAAAGTAGTTCAGCTGCAGTCCTGCAGTGTACGTGACATTTCTTCGCCTCGTCAGGAAGAATTGCTGCAGGGATCAAATACTCCCACTACTACAACACGACTTGCACACCATGATCACCGTTATGCAAGCACTCCACGAAGCTTGCGACGAAAGTTAGATTTTTCGCACGCCCAGAAAATTATGATGGAGAAAACAGCTCGTTACACAATGAAGAAGTTTCGTCGATTGATGATAACAGTGTCGCAGTTAAAAAATTTGCTGAAGTCTATGAAGGAAGAAATGATCGCTAGGCCGGAAGTCGTAGATCATCTGGAGCAAGTATTTGGTGGATCTCCCCTACAACTTTATAAAAGGTGTGTCCAGGTAAATGCCGCTGGTGGGAAGAGAGTCACCAAGAAATATTCTACTACTTTGCGTGCTTTCGCTTTAACATTGCACTTTTATTCTCCTCGAGCATATGCTTTTGTCCGTGAAGAGTTTGGCTTGAACTTACCTCATCCAAGTACATTGCGTAGTTGGTACAATGAAGTCAAAGACGATCCTGGGTTTACAGATGAATCTTTTTCGGCCCTTAAAATGAAAGTAAATGAATATTCATCAATTGGAAAAAGTTTATATTGCTCCTTGATGCTTGACGATATGCACATTAAAAAGCAAGTCGAATGGGATGGCAATAAGTTTCATGGTTTTTGTACCATGCATAAAAACGATACAGAAGAATGTCACGTTGCCACTCAAGCACTTGTTTTATGGCTGTAAGTATCGATGCATCCTGGAAGGTTCCTCTCGGCTATTTTTCGCATGATGGCTTAAGCGCGGAACAACTGGCAACATTGACTAAAGACTGCATTAGACGTTTGCATGAAGTTGGTGTTCAAACTCCTTCCTTAACTTTTGATGGTCCTGCTGTTAATTTTAATATGGCTGAGCTCATGGGGGCTAATCTGCGAATGAATTCTTTTAAGCCAAGTTTTCCACATCCTTGCGATCCGAGAATGGTCCAAATGTATTGCCTATTAGATCCTTGTCATGTTTTGAAACTTCTGAGAAATGCATGGAGTGATTTAAGACTAATAATTGATAGTAACGGTAATTTAATTTTATGGAAATTCATAGAAAAGCTACATGAAATCCAACAAGCCGAGGGATTGCGAGCAGGCAATAAAATAAGAAAGGCGCACATTGAGTGGAAAAAATCGCCAATGAAAGTAAATCTCGCTGCTCAGACACTTAGTTCCAGTGTCGCCGACGCCATAGACTTCTGTCGTGACATCGGAGTGGCTGGTTTCGAAGGAAGCGCACCGACCACTGACTTCATTCGAAAAATTGATCAATGGTTCGACATCGTGAACATCAGAAATCCGCTAGGTCGCGGTTTTAAGGCTCCACTATCAACAAAGAATGAAAGCAGCTGGAGGCCATTTCTGCACGATACGATTCAATACATCTCGTCACTTCGGCTGGAAAACGGAACTCGTATGGTCGACAGTTCAAGGAAAACTGGTTTCATTGGCGTCATTTTATCCTGCGAAACAATAGTTTGTATATTTGATCAATTAGTAGGAAGTCACGAAACCCACTTGAAGTACCTCCTTACGTACAAAATGTCGCAAGATCATCTCGAGTTATTTTTTAACGTAATCCGAGCTAGAGGACGATGGTGTGTTAATCCTACATCTCGCCACCTGTCTTCGGCTTACAAACGTCTACTAGTGAGGCACCAAGTAAAGGCTTCAAATGGCAATGTGACTGCCATGGAGAAAACTACGATTCTCTTTGCGACTCGAAATTCTGTTACTCGGTATCGAGACACCGTAGCCCAATGCGATACCTTAACATGTGCGTTGTCTCGCGCCTACGCCACTGATGACAACTCTACCGACAAGAAAACAGAACGCTCAAATAATCTGGACGCTCTACCTTTGAATATCAATGGGAAACAAGATGGAGTCAACGACGAAGAATTGATGGAGTTAGATTCAGAAATGCCTCAAAATTATTTTCAGTTATCCGAATTTGCCGAAAATGTAGTTGCGCTAATAGCAGGTTACGTTGTGCGAATGGTGTTTAAATGAGTTCATTGCATATCTTGTTGTTCTGTTCTCTACAATGGAAACCCCAACGACAATAGGCTTCAGCTAATTTTTCAAAAATCGAATGGCGGCCTCATACTTCCTTCTCCCGACGTCATAGCGATCTGTAGTATGACTGAAAAGATGTTTCGAAGAGTTAGCCATGAGTTGCCTATGGATACGCCAGGATTCAATCACATTGTAGCGAATGCAGTATTCGCCAATCTAGCTACGAAAAATTTGTTTTCGGAACTAAGCGATCACATGTTCGATATGTCGGAAGAAGAAAACCATATACATAGTCTAACAAAAACAATATCATTGTGTTACATTAGGATAAAAATGTTTCATGAAGATAAAAAGATTACGGAAACACTGACGAACGTCGGAAAACGGAAAAAACTATTGCGACTTGCCATTTTCTTAAATGTATAAATGTAAACACATTATAAAACAATCATTTTAATACATTCTTTAATCGTAAATGTGTATTTATTTATTTTATTTTGAAAATACATAATACCTACGTGTATCCGTAAAACTTTATGCAATTTTATATGTTACTGTAAAATTCTGAATATACTTATTTCATTACTTCTATAACTTTTCAAGCTTCACCATTTAAATTGTGACGGGACCATACGCGCTTTTGATTCGCTCAAATATCCCAGCAAACAAAAATGGCGCTGATCAATTGGGGTCACGCCTCACTATTCTTCTTAGGCGGAGATGTGCCTTCCAGTGTATATATAGTTCAGTGGTTTTATGTATTGTTGCTTTGCAATGAACTTTGTTCATATTTTTCCAATATAGATATCGAACCTGAACGTGCAAAAAAACGATGGAAAACATTGCGCGATAGCTATACGCGCAAATTGGCAGAACAAAAAACATACGTGCCATTGGGCAATGGTACATCTGCTGTACCACCTGAAGAAAAATGGTAGTTTTTCAAATCCCTCGAATTTTTGAAACCAATGATCGGCTACAGAAAGTAATAACTATATTATTCTGGGCTTTCTGTTTTTATTATATGTATATCTCATTATGTTTCTTCTTTATTTTATAGAACTATCACTAACAAGAGCCTACTTAGAACTGCTTCAAGAACATCACCACCTTCTATTTCTCCAGTCAATGAAAATTTCTCAAGGTATCTTTTACCGACCTATCAAGAAATACCATCGCCCGCCATCACTGAAAAATTTGGTACGGTCATTAAATTCTTACAATATTAGATTTATAGTTGCAAATTTTATATTCCTTTTTATTCGTAGATAAATCCAAAAAACGCAGACTAAGTAGTGCCAGTTCTACAAGTGACGCAAGCTTTGAAAACAACTTGCTGGAAGCATTCAAGAGTAATCGACCACCTCCTCCTAGAGATGATATTGACTCCTTCTGTTCGTTCTTGGCAACACGTTTGAGAAAACTTGAACCCCGATTATACAATGAGCTGTCTCATACTTTTATGAATGAATTGATCCAAACCGAATTGCGACAACAAGAAGAGTATGATGAAGAATATTATTAATTTTTTATGATAGATTCACATTTATAGATTAATTGAATAGTTATACAAAGCATCTGGTTTTTTAAAATTTACGAATTTTCAGATTAATTAATCAAATTTTAATTGTAAATATTCATTCTCAAACAGTTGTTTGTTTTGCGCGAAAAAATTATACATTTCAAATATCTTCTTTCCAGTCGATTAATTTCAAGATAAATAATGTATGATTATTGTTGAAGCTTTAATGCATAATGTGGTCGGATACCTTGTAAAATTCTGAAATATTAAATGACAGTGACTACGTTTATACGTCACCCTTAATCGGGTTTAATAACATCGATAATTGTAGAATTGGCCAATCCACTGCTATTCCTTAGAAGAATGGAATGACTGCAATTGCAATCTTATAATTATGGATGTTATTAAATCCAATTAAGGTGATGTATAAACGTAATCACTACTGTATAAATCAACATTTTGTTACAATCTAAGGGTGCATTTCTTTGAACGCTCACGCGCTAAAAGCATCAGTCTATCTTTCTTGTTCATTATATGTCGAAGAAAGATAAAATAACACTTTCAGCGTGTAAGCGTCCATAAGAAACGCACCCTAAAATGAAAATGGAATATTATATTATATATTTACATAATATATTTTTGGTTTTTTTAAATTGTTCACAGACAATCCATGAGATGAGACCACCTTATTTATCGGGGCAAAAGAAATAAAACATATTCCCAATATTTTATACTATTTTTTTAAATAAAATATATATTTTTAAAAAATCATAAGATATGCACACAATTTGTACTAGACCTGCAAAATTGACTTAATTTATAAATTTTTTTATTCTTAGATATCTTATAGGCTGAGATCCCACTGCCAAGGAACAGTACCTTTGTTTAAAAAGTAGTTTTTAAATTCATTTCGCTTCTCGGCAGCGTAGCAAGAATGCGCTTGACCTCCAGTACGTCCAACTCTATGAAAGGCTGTATTATCCAAGCTCATTTGTCGCCATTGTCCTTCAATGATGTGACCATTGCGAGCTACAAAATCTCCAAATAATGGAGGACAGTATGCTGGCTCCGACAATAAAAAATTATAAAGTACTACAGATGCTTTTACGATTTTTTCGGCCGTTTCAAGAGATGCTGTTATTGGTCCTTGAAATATGCGAAATCGTGCAACCATGATTCCAAAGGCATTTTCAACAACTCTTCTAGCGCGACTTAGACGATAGTTAAATATTCTTTGTTCTTGAGTTATATTTCTTCCTGGATAGGGTCTTAATGTAAATTTGTTTAATTGAAATGCCTCATCAGCCACGATCATATATGGAAGAGATGGTCCATTAATACAAAGTGACGATGGCAATGGAATATTTAATTGTTCTTGATGAAATTTTTGGCCCATTACAAAATTTAAAAAAATCCCACCATCACTATGGCGACCTTGAGCACCAATATCGACGAGCATGAATCGATATGAAGCAGATGCAATGGCCATTAGCACAATACTGTGAAATCCTTTATAATTGTAATACATTGAGCCAGCATTACTTGGACACTAAAACATAAAATATCCAGTATATTTATATCGGCTATTATATTTTTTTTTACAATGGCGTCAGAGATATCTTTTCACAATTTATGGATTGTTTTCTAACTTACCTTGATCGCCACATGTTTGCCATCGATAGCACCAATGCAATGAGGGAACTGCCAATAGTTATCAAATTCAGCAGCTATTCTTTTCTAATTCTCTTTCGAGGGCTCCAACAGTTCATCCTGTAGCACTTCCCACAGTGCGTCACAAGTTTCTAATATAATTTGTGAAACTGTACTTCTTCCTATTCGATAGGCATAAGCCATCAAACTCATTGCATCTCCAGATGCTAAATATCTTTAAATAAAAAATCAAAAGTGAAGACAATATCAAACTGATGTTGTCTGCATTAATACAAGAAACACTCACCGAAGGGTTAAATACAATCTATCTCTGGCAGATATGGGATGTCTGAAATTTGTCAACTGTTTTTTGATCAATGGTTGCATTCGCTGCAATAAATGATCAAATTTTGACTAGTCGCATCTCATTTATTAGATGATAGCCATCACCTTGATTAATTCACTCATGAATTATAGGCCGAATCCAATATCGTCTTTGTTTTCGACGATTTGTTCGTTGACGACGAATATATAACATTGCTATTATAATCAATTTTTGTCTACGTTCAAAATACTCCTCTTCTCCGTTATACATTGTGCGCTTTTATGCAAGAATTTTAGGTTATATTTATGTCGACGCGAGCGGACAGTGTGAACCTCAGCGAACCAACCAGCAAGCAGCAAGCGCTCGCTGCTCGACGCTTGCTGCTTGCTGCGTGCAGTCTAAATTAGGCTTTACACTCCGTCCCTATATTTCCTATGTCTATGGTGACGTGCTTGTGTAGTGCCCGCATGGTGAGGCCGTTCCCGTCATGTTGCTCTATTGCAGGATGCTCGATCTTGCAGCACTGCTCCAAACTAATATTGTTTTTTATTTCGATTTTTTCAGTTCGTTCTTTGTTATTTCATAAAGATGCATAATATTTGTTTTAAAACAATATGAAGATCTTTAATCTCTTGATTAATCATTTCCTTCATCTGATTCATCAATTCCGCATTATCCGCAGCAATTTTTCTATTGGTTTTGGATATATCCTCATTGATATAAGCCCGCAAATCTGTAATTTGCTTTTGCAATGTTGCAAATTTTGTGTGAATGTAAACGTTGCTATCCTTCTTCCAGTTCTGTACAGTAATCTCCAAACTTTGAAGTTTTAAAAGCACTTCCCGTTTGGAATTTTCGCAAAGTAAATGATTTCTATTTATACGATTGTCCATGTCGTCACTAATAGTCTTGAAGCGATGATCCAAGTGCTACTTGTTCACAGCATCGCTATAGGCTTTAGGGCTGGCGAGACGTCTAATTTTATGTGACTTGGCGTTGAAAACTTCACCATCCACGGAAAGACAATTTTTTCGTACGTAATTTCTAAAGACTCCACCGCTCCACCGAGCTTCTCCTCTCTCTCCCTTTACGTCGTTTTTTACAAGCTGTATTCCAAACTTGTTGATTCCTGTAGTGTTGCACAAGCGATACTGGCATTAGTTGAAAAGTGGTGGTCAATTTATAATCAGACCCGTTTTACGCAGTTCCTCGATTATTGATAGAAACTCGGTGTCATGAGCGTTGTTTCCTGCCTGACGGGAAGCGTCTAATAATCGAAGACGATCGACCAATTCATTCGGATCATCCCAGTGCACATAATCGACCGCTTTGTTGGTCACGGTCATGGTCTCAGGTGTAACGTTTCGTCTCATGCTACACTCGGGTAACGCGATATTGTGACGAGTCATCACACCTCCACCTCTCTTGTTGAGACACATTAGAGGTGCAATATTTTCATACTTGTATCCTTTATTTCCCAAAACCGGTAAAAGCATGTTATGACCACGTTTGTGAGCATTAGTCGCCAAAAGTATGCCCTTCTATTTTTGTTTGTCATCTTCGGTATATATCGTATCGTCGGGAATTCTTTTGATATCAATTCAAAACTAGACCGGGCGTACCCGCGTATATCACACTGTCCACATTATGTTATTATTTTTATCGATGTCAAAGCGCTTATCTCCAAGCAGTGTACCCTCATTGTTAAAGTATACTCTGTAAACTTGATCCGTCTTCTTATCACCGCTCAACAGCGCTTCGATGTACTTTTGCCCCAGCGGGCCTAGTTGACCGTACA